TCCTCTCTGGTCATGGCTGCTTCAGGAAGTACCTGCATCGGTTCGAACACACAACGTCACCCTTCTGTCCGGAGTGTGGGAATGTGGAAGAATCACCAGAGCACGTGGTCTTCTAATGTCCTAGATTTGATGCTGTGCGAGAGGATATGCTCGCCCTTAGCACGGAGAATGTCGTCGAAGAAATGTGTCGCCGTCAGCAGAGCAGTAACACAGATCATGTCAGCGCTGCAGCGAAAATGGCGATAGGACCAGCTAGAAAGTAGTAATGTGCTCACACAAGTGCGAAGTGAAAGCCGAAGCCGAGAGAACTCTCCGTCAGAGTAAACTGAATCCACCACCGGGGTTAACCGAGTAGAACGCGACGCTTGGAGCTAAATGGCTCACAAATTGGAGAGACGATCAGCGAACTGGAAGCGCCAATTCGCTGAGGTAAAGTGAGGTGCATAATGCACGGCCCCCTTCGAAGTAATACGACAAGTGGTTCCGCGTGTCAACGCGACTGTGCGCCTAGTCGTCAAGCGGTGGCACGATGGTCTTTTGAAGGTTTCCTCCTTTCCAAAAAAAAAAAACTTAAAAAAAAGAAGACAGTGCTCCACTGAGGGCAGTCAGTACTCATTCATCCCTCTGAGATCACTGTGCTTTGGCGGCATCTGGACGTCATTACGCCAAGACACTAGTTGGTGCGCACGCCGTTGATCGGAATCACTGAGTCGTCCTCTGAAGTACAGTCAACTTTCACAATGGCAGCCCAAGCAACATTGCAAGTTTTATCGAGGTTTTAAAGCATTCTACAAGTCTAAATCATGGTCTACAGAAACCTCATAAAACCAGAAATGCTTCTTGGAAGATGATGCCTTTGGAAGTGATGGCCAACTGAGTATCTATTGAGACTAAAACAACGAACACGATGGGCGCATGAGCGGTACAACATTCACATTGGAACGTTGGTGTTGGTTTCCCTGCAGAAGTGACGTTTAGATGGGCTCATCCGAACCGTCAGCACCTCTCAAGAAGCTGCATAGTTCCAGTCATTCAAGGTTCCAGCAATGTTGGATGGGAAGGGACTTCATGGTCCCCGTACAAGTTTCGACCTAGAGTCAATCGTTTTTGTATGAACCCTGCACCCCGACTATCCAAGAGCGAGAAGATCGTTTCTACCTCACGCTTCCACGATTACAAACGACAACCAGCTGAAAAATAGATTTTTTTTTTCGAATAGCATCTGGTGATATCAATTGTCAGTTCAAACACGTCCCGAGGAAATAGAAATTTTAAATTTTTACCTAATATAAAATTGTTATTGAAGATACATCCTTCAACGATATAAGCTTTAATGAAGTCACAATTCCCGATACTCATAATAAATTCCACCAGAAAAAAAAAATCGAAGCCTTCTTCCACGTCGAACAACTGATCCATCTGTGCCAATTAATACCAGCGTGACTAACAAGTGCTTCCAATTCCGACTTTGAAGTCGCTGCCAGCTTCGGCTTTGATCAATTTATTCAAACCGAACGCAAAATGTGAAATGATATAACGCAATCAGAAAATTCCGAGCAACTGCCTTGTGCACGTGATTTTTGTTCCTTCTAATTACCGTACTCTCCCCCTCCCCCCCCCCCCCCTCACAGAGATTTTCACTTTATAGAAATAGCAGTGAAGCATCCACGGACGGAAAACGCGTTGATGAAGACGAAAACAACCGGTCGGCGGTGCGGCGGTTTGGGTGCGGTGGGTGTGATGCTTCAATTTCCTTTTTCTCGCAACCGAAGTCCCGGCTTCCCGTGTGCATGCGAGTGACATGAAAGTTAATTGAAAATTTTTGCAAACAAGTCGCAATCTCCAGGAGCGATATTTAAAGAAGTTTCCCTGCTTCCCTTCTACCGGGCCCGAGCCCACACGCCAGCATAAATTGTAGCCCGGACCAGAGGACCCGGGCCCCTAATCCGGGCTCGCATCTTTAATGGGAATTTGTGCATTTCTGCATTCTATTTCATCTGCTTGAGTCACAAAAAAAAAAAAAAAATGTGCAAAGACGAAATTGTATATTCAATTTCAATAAATTCCAAACTACTTCCTTGGAAGGAGAGCCAGAAACGCAAACGTGTTCCATGAAGAAGCTCTGGGACTGCTGTTTCCTGTTGCGAAAGATGACTGGAAGGGGAAGGGGAATTCCGAAAAGAAGTATGCACGATGTTTTGCTGCTGTACGATTGGAGCGGAGAAGAAAAAAAAAATGCATGAGGGAAAATCTATTTCCCGCGTTGCTCTGATCCGAAATGATGAAATATTTGCAATATTTTGTTCGATTTGCATGTTTTTATCGTCCGGAGCGGAGCAATGCATTTTGAACGAGGTACGAGCAAACTCGAAGCAAAGGTATGGTCGTGTACGATAAACGACGAACCGTTTGTCCTTTTATGTATTCGAATTAAGGAACGTGTGGAATCAAATGCATGTATTTCTGTTATGATGATTGTGCTGGGGAAATTGCAATTGTCGAGATGTGTTATTCTTAAGGAGATTAGAGCAATTGCAGTCACAGGTCTTTGACAAGTCGATGGAGGAGTTCAACGAATGTCAGGAGGAGTTCAAAAACATAATCTGGCTGGAGTTTAGCGATCACGTGCATTTACGGTTACGCAACAACTTACGTTGTCTGTACCCAGGGGACAATTTGACAGCCAATTTAATTGCCGTATCTCAGCGATGTTTCAAGGGATTTTTAAAATTGTTAATGTTTGGAAAAGCAAATTTAGTACCCTTTTAGCTAAAACTATTCAAAATGAGGAGACGAATCTCTCGAGGGGAGCGGTCATTGCTAAAATGTGCCTGATGAAATGGGATATTCCGATGATAGAAACGTGTAAACCACGAGATCCTCACCTTCAGCAAAGAAGTTCAGAAACACAAGATGCACTAAGTTAACTTTACCAAACATCGCTGAGATACGGCTATTTGAATGTGAAATGTGGAAAATTGATGCAAGAGATAATTGTTAAAGCATTAAGAAGCAGATCTCATCTAGTATTTCAGATTCCAAGAGGACACATCTAATCACGAATGAATTAGACAAATGGGTTGCCAAATAGAAAAAGCTGAGGGTTGTGTCCAAAGCGACGTAGAACGACGAGGTAATTTTGCTGTTCTATTCAATAATATATAAATGACAAAATAAATGGTTTAGAAATTTGAATGCAAATTCGAAACATTTGATATTTTTCACGGATGTTCCTTGAAACATTCATTAGAATTCACTTGAAAGTATCTTTCTAATTCATGTTTAGTTTTGGAGTATGAGTAAAGAGTTTACATTGATATAGGGGAAATGACGGCTTCGGCATGACAGACTATTTTCGGCAACCTAAATTGAAACACTATTTTTACTGGATTTTCTTACGAAAACACTTCGCTGAATGCATGCAAACGATTCTTTATGCTTTTAGCTTCAATTTGACTATATTTTTACCACTGAGAAAAAGCAATCTAGCAAGGTTTTCTTGAAATGCAACACACGCACTACAAATTGTAGCTGATTTCGAGTTGCCGATAATAGAACAGCAGATTTACATGCAGTTCAAATGGAACGGTTGCCGAAGAAAAACTGGTTGCCGACAATACTCGCTCTCACTAGAGAAGATTGGAGCTTTGTAAAAGCGTTTCAAAACAGTTTTTGACAATTCTTTTGACTGAAATTGTTAATGCAGCTGGCAGCAAAAGATTGTAAACAAACCAATACTGCATATGTGTGCGTTCCTTAGAGAAAAAGGCTATAGAAAGAAGTTCGCTGCTTAGGTTGCCGAGAATACGTAAATTCCCCTAGTAGTTTCATGTGTAGCATGTTAGCAACGATACATCAGTTTTTATGGAAGTATCCGTGACTGTTCTACTTCTTTGTGTTTTTAGCCAACTACTGGTATACTGATTTGTTAACTGTCGATTGAGTTGAATTGGTGTGTGTAACGTTTGTTTCGTTATTTCAGCTGCTTGTTTACCACCGGTGATTGATTTTGGATCTGCTGTTGTTGTTTTAAACTCGCACTGATAGAATGTGTCGAATGTAAAAAACTGGAGAAATATGCTAGAAAATTGGTTACTTGCATGTACTGTTTCTCTGAGGCGCACTGCAAATGCCGAAATCTCGTTGGTAATGCAGCCCGGTGTATAAAGGACAGGATGCATTTCTGCTCGCATAACTGTTCCAGCATTTACCATCGAATCACTGAAATGCAAAATCAAAAATCCTCAATAGTTGATACGCTAGCCGCTGAACTTAAGGGAGCAGTTTCTAGTGCTGTCTCCCAGGAAATGAAGAGCGTTAGGTGCGAAGTACAACAGATAACAACTGCTACTGACAAAACGCAGCAATTCCTTTCTGAAAAATTTGATGCCATTGTAACTGATTTTCAAGAGCTGAAGAAAGAAAACGAGAATTTAAAACTGGAAGTAGATAGGCACAAAAACACGCAACATGCTATGTCAAAAATCGTCCATAATTTGGAACACAACGTTGATAAAACTGCTCGACAAGCGAATTGTTACAACGCTGTAGTTCTCGGGTTTCCTTTCATTCCTGATGAAGATACTGTAAACATTGTTCGGGTTGTTATCATTCGCGGACAAGAACTCGTTCTGCTCAGACGTATACTAGAGTTGATCGTGAAGTATAGAGTGTTTTAAAACAATAGCCCTCTGTGGCTATTGTTTTCACTTTTTTTTTGTCTTTTGTATAAGCGGAATCTTTCTGTATAGGAAGAGTAAAAATGGCAAACAGCGTTAGAAAGAACACAGTAAAGTTGATTTTTGGACCGGACAGCAAAATACCATCGTACCTGGATGTACTCAAGTTTTCTATGGACGTTTTGAAACTTTCGGCGGCTGACATTCACACAATCTACAAAGATGAAAATGGCGGACAATTCTACATCAAACTAATCGACGATCACACGTTCTCTGCGTTCATTTCCGAAGCACATGAATCGTACAACTTTCAGTACGAAGATGGAGGAACAGCAAGGGTCCAAGTGGACCAAGCATCACGGATTTACAGGTACGTTCGCATTTTCAACTTACCACCAAAAATCGATGATCGGGAGATCCAGTATGTACTGGGTCAATACGGAACAATCCGACAGCACGTGCGAGAGAGGTTCCCAAGTGAAATGAAAGTGAACATTTTCACTGGAATTCGAGGTGTCCATATGGAGGTTTCGAAGGAAATTCCTGCCAACATCTACATCGGGCATTTTCGTGCTCGAGTTTTTTATGAAGGTTTGAAAGGTCGATGTTTTTTCTGCAAAGCAGAAGGACATATGAAGTCGGATTGCCCTAAGCTGGTGGCGATACCTTCAGGAAGTGGAGGTAAACCGAACCACTCTGGAGGTGGCGGTTCACCGGAGTCGCCGAAGCCGTCAGGCAGCGGGGTTAAACCCAATTTTTCCGGTGACACCGGGGTGAAGCCCAGTCTTGCCGGCGTTAGTGAGGTCAAGTCTAGCCTTTCCGGGAGCAGCGTAGTCAAAACCAGCTCTGCCGGGGGCAGTGGTTCTCCCCTGGGCAGACCGAATAAACCAGTAATTGACAACATTGCACCAGTTATTCCACAAATGATGGTTCTAAGGAAGAACACTGAGAGTAAACCTGATCCAAACGTGCAGAACGCCGGATCTCAGAAAGCAGCGACATCAACAATCTCGACAACGGGAACGGTTCTGAAGGATAGTAGCGGTGCTACAACGGGCACACCAACAAGTACTTCTGGTGGTGATGCGTGTGAAACCACGACTGCAATGGAAGATGAAGTAAGCGAGCAACAACGATATGCTACAATCAAGCGTCCTGGAGCCATGGTTACGGAGAGTTCAGAAAGCGAGGAGGTATCAACAGCCAGTGGCCAGCAAAAAATGAAACATGGTAAGGCCAAAGAAAATAAACAGACACCGCAATTCGTGAGTAGACTGCCAAGGAATAAGAAAAACAAGCAGTAAGATATGATCATTTCCTCCTACCTGTATACAATTTAAAAGTTCATCTCTTTTTAATGAACCAAAAATGTTTTCTAGGATTTTAGCTACTTTAAACATTAATGCCATCAGCTCAAGAATCAAGATTAACATGCTCAAAGATTTTGTGTGGAACTATGACATTGATTTTGTTTTTCTTCAAGAAGTTTCTTTCGAAGATTTTAGTTTTATTCCAAGTCATATTGCTTTGGTCAATATCAGTGAGGATCGTAAAGGCACTGCTGTATTGATAAGAAAAAATAGACAATTTTCCAGCGTTTTGATGAATCCCAATGGTGGCGTAAACTTTTTTTTTTTTTTTTCCTTTGGTTTGTTTTTTCCGTCGATCTTGTTTTCCGTGCTGAGCACCAATGCTACCGACGTGCCAGGAAGGCAGCTCCCACACCTGGACCCTACCTATCGACTCATCAACTCATGAACCGGGGACCAACGGCTTTACTTCCCATCCGAAGGAAGGCGTGATCAGAGATGTTATGCCTCAGAACATCCCGGCGGCACCGACTGGGTTTGAACCCAGGCCTGCTGGGGTGAGAGGTAATCACGCTTACCACTACACCACCGGCGCCGTTTGGCGTAAACTTTATCAATGTGTATGCTCACTCAGGATTAAAGTTTCGTAAAGAACGTGCTCGATTGTTTTCGGAAGATATCTTTTCTCATTTGTCTACTGATGCACCAAATGTGATTTTAGGAGACTTTAACTGCATTCTGCTAAAGCGTGATTCGAACGGAGCCGTCAAAATTTTGTGTCAAGGATTGAGCCAGCTAATTTCATCGTTTGATTTGCAAAACGTCGGGAGGATTAGGGATAGAAAAACAATATATACATTTTTCAGAGGTGAATCCATGTCAAGGTTGGATAGGATTTATGTTCTGAGAAACTTTCTTGACAGAGTACTAAAATTCGAAACCACAGCTACAAGTTTCTCTGATCATCATTCGTTAATTTTGAAATTTCAAGTAGAGTCAAATGAAGACGTCATCTCATACGGAAGGGGGTTTTGGAAGATTAATCCTTCTCTCTTAAACGATGAGGACATTTGTGGTAGCTTAAAAAAGGAGATTCTTGCGGTTAGACGAAGAGTAGTTTACAGAGAAGATTTTTGCCGATGGTGGAATGATCATTTTAAAACTAAAGCACGTAGTTTCTTTAAGCCAAAATCTTATGAAATTAACAAGAGAATCTCTGAATCCAAGAGCTTTTTATACGGCTGTTTGAAGGAAATATCTGAAAAGCAAAATTTAGGAGTAGATATGACGAAAGGATTAGGTTTCGTTAAAACTTAAATGATGGACATTGAACAAAACCGGGTAAATAATTTAAAACTTAAAATACAAACAGATAACATAGTGGAGGATGAAAAGCTAAGTTTATTCCAAGAATTGAAAATTAATGACCAAATAACAACACAGAAAAAGGATCTCCAATTGTTCATGGAAAATCATTTTCGGAATCTGTTTGAAAATGATAACACATTTACACCAGGTGCAGGAAACGTTTTAAATTACATAAGAAATACTTTGTTGACAGATGAAAAGACAGACTTGGTTAGGCCTATTCAGGAGGATGAACTTGAATCGGCTTTAAAGCAAGCTTCAAAAAAGAAAAGCCCTGGGCCGGATGGACTCACTTATGAATTTTACTCGACTTTCTACGATTATTTAAAATCTGATCTTCTAAAATTATCAGGTTCGACGATCACTCCCGATTTTGTAGAGGGAGTTATAACATTGATCCCTAAAAAGGAGAATTCACACGAGATATCAGACAAAAGACCTATTAGCATGTTAAATTGTGACTATAAACTTTTTTCAAAAATTATGATGAATCGCTTACAGCCCATTCTAGACTCCTTTATTGGACCTGGTCAAGCAGCTTGTATTTCTGAAAAATCTTGTATTTCTGAAAAATCTTGTATTTTCAATTTGAAAATGCTCAGAAACATCGCAATCAAATCTTACGCTTCGAATAGGTTCAAAGGTTTAATTGTAAGCTTGGACCTCGAAAAAGCCTTTGATCGAGTGAATCATGGTTTTTTGTGGCTGATTTTAGAAAAGTTTGAGTTTCCTCAACAGTTTGTGAATTGCATCCGCAATCTTTATTCAAATGCTCGGTCTAAAATTATTGTTAATGGGTTTTTAACGAATAGTATAGCAGTTCGTTCATCTGTGCGTCAAGGTTGTCCTTTAAGTATGGCGCTATTCATTTTGTACATTGAGTCCCTTATAAGGATGTTGTATGATAACGTAATGGGATGTTACATTGATGAAGAACTCATAAAAGTTTTAGCATATGCAGATGATATCACTTTTTTCATTCGCAACAACCATGAATTTGATAAAATGCTGGAATTGATAAACTATTTTAGTATTTACAGCTAAATAAATATGAACATTAAAAAGTCTCTTTTTATGAGATTAAACAATTGCACTAGCGGCCCTCATTTATTAAAAGAAGTTGATTCAGTGAAAATCCTCGGGGTCGAATTTTTTCACTCCTTTCAGGACACTATAATGCATAACTATTCCAAAATAATTAGTATCATTAAATATTTGATATCATATATTTGATAGGAGACGATTAAATATTTTCCAAAAAGCATGGGTTTTAAATTATTTGATTTTTTCAAAATTATGGTACTTGTCACAAATTTTTCCTCCACACAATGCTCATGTAGCGGAACTAAAGACTATTAGCAGAAATTTTATTTTTAAAGGTATTGGACTATTTAAAGTTAGCTTAACTCAATTGAATCTCGATGTAGACAAAGGAGGATTATTTTTCATTGACGTTGAAAGCAAAATGAAATCCTTATTCATTAAAAACATACTATTTGGAAGTCAAAGCTCTGGAAAAGATAACTTTTTGATTTCTCAAAAAGATAACCGTTGCCTCACTCGAAATGCACGTGAGTGGATAAACTGTGCCATAGCAGACGATAATTTCACTGATATGGTCTCAAGCAATAGAATTAACAATTATTTAATTAGTGTACAAAATATTAAACCTAAAATTGCTGAAAAATATTCTAATTTACATTCCACTAATGAGAAGCAAAGTTTATTTTTAGTTTTCAATGACATCGTTCCCACAAAAGCTAAGTTGTTGTTTTATAAAGTTAGGGGGACTGATAATAATATATGTAAGTTATGCGGTAAGGTAGACTCAGTAGAACATCGTATAAAAAATTGCAAAAATAATGAATAAATTTGATTTTGGATAAAGGAAACAATTGTAAAAAAGCTTAAAATTACAGTTAATGATCCTGAAGAAATATTAAACAGAACTGTCGAATCAAAACAATATCAAAGTAAAACAGCTTTATGGCTTGTTGCTCAAGCCACTTTCTACCAGAGCTGTGTGCCCACCAACGAGCTGGGAACCGGTTTTGTAGTGCTGGGTAAGATGCGCCAACGCGTGATTGGTTGGCAGCCGATCAACGCGAGGATGTGCATGTTGAGGATTAAGGGCCGTTTCCTAAACTACAGCATCATCAACGTGCACTGCCCACACGAAGGGAGAACGACGGTCGAGAAAGAAGCGTTCTATGCGCAGCTGAAGCAGGTGTACGACGGCTGTTCGCAACGGGACGTCAAAATCGTCATCGGCACCATGAACGCTCAGGTAGGACGGGAGGCAATGTATAGACTGGCAATCGGGCCAAACAGCCTGCATGCCGAATCGAACGAACACGGCCAACGATGCGTGAACTTAGCAGCCTCTCGGGGTATGGTAGTTCGAAGTACCTCCTCCCCCCGCAAGGATATCCACAAATCCACCTGGAGATCACCTGACAAACACACAGAAAACCAAATCGATCACGTTCTAATCGACGAGAAATGCTTCTCCGACATTATCAACGTCCGCACGTATTGCAGTGCGAACATAGATTCGGACCACTACCTAGTTGCAGTATGCATGCGCTCAAAACTCTCGACGGGGCTTAACATCCGTCAAAGTCGAACGCCGTGACCAAACATTGAGCAATTACGGGACGCTGGAGTTGTAGGGACATCCGTACCGCTATAGGTAGTACTGCTGCAGCGACACTAGGTACTGCGGTCCCAGACCGAAGAAATGACTGGTTTGACGGCGAATGAAAGCTGTTAGTAGAGGAGAAGAATGCAGCACGGGCAAGAATGCTGCAACACCGCACGAGATTGAATGTAGAGCGATACAGACAAGCGCGGAACAGACAAAACTCGGTTTTCCGAAGGAATAAGCGTCAGCAGGAAGACCGAGATCGTGAGGTGATGGAAATTCTGTACCGCGTAAACGACACACGGAAGTTCTACGAGAAGCTTAATAGGTTACGCAAAGGCTACGTGCCGCAAGCCGATATGAGCAAGGACTTGGACGAACGAGTGTGAGGTAATTGAGAGGTGGAAGCAGTACTATGGCGAGCACCTCAACGGTGATGCAGCAGAAAACAGCAACAGATCTTGGAGCACGTGCAGGAGACAACAGACTACCGGCCCCTGATCTTCAAGAAGTTGAGGAGGAGATCGGTCGGCTGAAGAACAACAAAGCAACTGGTGTAGATCAACTACCACGTGAGCTATTAAAATACGGTGGAGAAGCGCTGGCTACCCGAGCAAATTCGGTTAACAAAATGAAAGCAAACCGATATTAAAGTGTGCAGTTGCTATCATAATGAAAACTCATTTTGATTTCAAATGTTGCGACATAAGTCTGATATCATATTGTGCTTTCATTATGCAGTCAAGACCTTTTAAATGAGAATCTTTCTTCAGCTTGAGAAACAGCTTCAGCTTGAGAAACATGAATGATAACCAATTACTCCAGGCCCGTATTCAGTTGAACATTATGAATGCAAAATCAGTAATCAAATTGATTTCATTGAAAGCAGCATTAGTTTTCCGTTTGCT